CAAGGCCATTGTCGACCTTGCTTCTGAAGTGGTGGGCGATGAAGAGAGACGAGCGGCAGCCAAGAGGTGTCCCGACCCTTCGCAGTGTACTCACCGCCACAATCATACCCCGGATATCTTTGGCGGTCACGAGTACAATACTTTCCACATCAAGCCGAGCTTCAGTGCCGACCTGGGTATCGTCCCGCCCTTGTTTGTGGTGGCCACCAAATGTAGGCATTCCGTCATCCGGCGACAGGCCATCCAGCTTTTGAGAAGCAGCGCGCGGCGGGAAGGCATGTGGGACAGTGAGCTCACAGCGCGAATTGGACAGTGGGTTGCCACGATTGAGGAGGAAGAGCCTTTATCTTCACCGTCTCCCGATGCGCGTGGCTCCCAAGCCGGCGCCAATGGAAGACACGGATCGGTGGATTTTGGCGAGGGCATTCCGCTAGGACCTGGTGGCAATGCTCGTTGGGATGATCGAAGGAACAGTGCGATTCCCGGACTGATCAAAGCGAAGCGATCTGTCCCCGAAGAGAAGCGCGTCATGGTTCGGGCGGTGGACTTTGACCTGAGGGCCAGATTTGCCAACCTCCAGGTCGGTACTCGTGGCATCATCACCGGCATGCCAGACATGCGGTCCCGTGTTACCCATATCACGTGGTAGGCCACTGCCCAAGAAAAGGAGAGCATTTGAGGATGATGGGGCTTGAGCGAGCGAATTTCATGGGAGACATTGAATTGGTCATAATTGCGTTTGATTTTTGTATTGGATATACCCCCGGCAATGTGCAAGACACGAGTGGTCATTGGGCCGTTTCTGGATCTCTTCTCAGCCACCTTACTACACAACTACGACAAAAAGTCATATGATCTGATGATTTATGGGAGTATCAAAGCGTTGTTACTGTCATAAGGACACAAGAGCACCGAAGCCGGCAAGGCCGTGGGTTTCAAGCAAGGAAGTGAGCGATAGCACTGCATTTCAGAGGAGTCGTGATCACACAAGAGGGAGAGCGTGAGAGAACGAAAAATAAAAGAGATCAAAACCTGGACTGCGCAAGCAATAATAGTCAACCTGTAGGTTAATCAAGACAATGATGACGCGGCACTAGGGCATGCACGAGAAAAGATACATTTGGCTGGTTTCCACATCGATTCAAGCTATCATTGCGAGTGAATGCATACCAAACTTAAAGTAGAGATGTGATGTCTATCAGCTGATGGCAGACAGAGTCCGAAGGCATATGGACTTATACAGGACACTTGCCGTCATTCACGGACCACGCATACCTAGGACCTACCCCAAGCACGGACTCCCGCGGCTGACAGGTTGACGAGCGGTAAGGTACCGGTATACTATCTGAGTTCTGTCCGCCCGGCCCGGTCTCGTGTGGATCCTTTTTGGGGATCGATGGCCGGCGGCTGGTTCCACTTTCTTCCGCGAACGTCCCGGGGCTGAGCGGAGAAGCGGTCCGCATTTGACATTGAGCATGATGGCTGCGTTTTTCGAAGCCTTCTCAGTGAAATCCACAGTACCTTGACATGTTCTTCGGAAATGTTTCTACCCGACGCCGAGTTGAGGAAAGAGGAGAGCCCTGGGAGGAGTGTCCTCACGTGTTAATCTAGTCGAGAGTAGTACTTGGTATAGTGGAGGCAGGCCATCTCGAATTTCTCTTTGGGGAGATGAGGGGGGGGGGGGGTTCGGCTTGACCATTCAATGTTACTGTTCGTCTGTTTCCTAGCAACGGGGGAGCTGCTGGGATGATGCCAGCGAGAATTAGGGGAAAGGGAGGGACAAATTTTTGCTTTCGATTCACGGTGACATTCCGTCTGCTGGATGGAGTTTTCTTTGGGCGATGCAGCTTTTTTGTGTATGGCAATGCTTGACTGGTCCAAGGAGATGGGGAGTAGAACTGAACGCTGCTTCCATCCCATCCCAGTTCATCACAACTCATCTACGTTAGCAAATGCGCAAGAGGTTCTCTCTCGCTCTCCAGTGACTGTGCTTGAATAGAGGAACCGACGAGGAGGGGCGAGATGTGATGGTAGCGAGGGGCAATGAGAGATCGACCCGCCCCCAGTGGGTTGCTGTTTGTCATAACTCCATAAGAGAACAGAGAAGAAGAAGCAACAGAAGGCAAAAGAGCGCGCAGTATAGAATAGCGCGGCTAATAGAGCTGGTGAGAAAACAAGAACGCATGAATTAACCATTTGGCTTCACAGCGGTTTTCCCAGTCACGGTAGCAGATTAGCGGATACCCACGGGCAATTGCCGCGTCTTAGCCTGGGTAGGGCGGTGACACGAATACAGAATGTGGATAGAAGTGAAGAAAAAATGGCGATCTAGAAGCAGCCAGTTCAGAAATTGCCATGTGAGTGGGGGGGGGGGGGTTGCTGTTGTTGTTTCTTCTCTCATCTTTTTTTTTTCTTCAAAAATTTTGCTGATGAGGAAGGTGAACTTTCATGGAAGATCGTTGCTCGGAGAGGTCCTATTGCGGACGAGACCCCGCTAGGGGTCCAGGCACGGTGGTCTTGGACTGGGTAAGAAGAAGGAGGAGGATCCTTTCCATCGGGTCTAGCTTTTCGGTCTTCAGCATTGAGCGGGAGCTTAACACAATGATCTGAGAATGCCGAGTGGGAGACACCACGGTAGCATGTGGCTCGGTTAGCGGTAAGCACGTTCAGGGCACGCTTGAGTTGTATTCTTGGCGATAGTGTACTCTAGAGACATTCCCAATTGAGTTTGGATCGCAAGGAGTCAAGATGGACTTACAGCAAACCAAAAAAAATTCACCATGCAAACGCAAGTGTCCAATGGGCCCGCTGGAAATGCTCCGTCTGGCGCCAATTGGGTGCGTCTGGGATTTCCAAAAAGTTCGAGATCAACAGGGACGTGGGGACACGATCCAATGACATCAGTCACCGCCGCCCGAATGTGCAATGGCCAGTCAAGATTGCAGTTTTCGTCCTCTATCCTTGAGAGCTGGCGTCACAGAAACCCAAACAGCACAAGCACATACGAGAGGTGACGAGGTGACGAGAGAGATGCAGGCGCCCTGTTCGAAAAATTTCTTCATTTACTTTTCCCCTTGTCTGTTTGTTCCTGGCGTTACGGTTGCCTCTCTGCTGTGGCCCATTCACCCCTCCCCTCGCTCCTCTTTCCCCCACGTATTCAGAACCACAGGGTCCCTTTTTTAACAGATTTTTCTACCCATTCAATAGGAGAATAACAAACAAACAATACGAGACAGGAGTAATAGTACATGTACCAATAATTTGATAAGCAGCCCAGATTCACGCCTTGAATACCTCACTTTGGTACTTAATACCTAAGACATCGTTGCCCCTTGTGCCGCCCAACCCACCCCTCCACCGCCTGAGCTTTGCTTCTGAACAAAATCCTTTGCGACTCAGGCTAATTACAACCCCGCCAACTTTTTTTTTTCCCTCTTGTAATCACTACCCCGCCACGAAAGAAAGTTGAAAAATCTCATAGCACCCTTCTTGAGATTTCTCTTCCCTCCTTCTTCGACTCTCCTCACTCACTCACTCGCTTCTCACACTTCATCACCTATTCTCTTACTCCTCCACACACAGATAAACAATACCGCCAAAATGACTGAAATGGTTGAGACTGGTGTCACCTACGAGCAGCTCGCTGACCTCGAGCGCGAGTTCGAGCTCGTTGAGAACGAGATTGGTATGTTTTGATTCTGTTTGCACAAGCCCTCACATTCCCCACGGACAAGAGATGAAGGAATCGTCTTCTTTCCATCTCTTTTCCTTACCTCGCCTCTATTTCTCACCCGACTAACACCCCTCGCCAGTCCGCAAGCAGTACGAGCTCTCCAAGCCTCTGTACGAGAAGCGCGCCGCCGTCGTCTCCAAGATCCCCAACTTCTGGGCCCTCGTCTTTGAGCAGTCGCCCCCCGAGGTCGACGAGCACATCCAGCCCTCCGACGCCGCTCTGCTCCTCTCCTCCCTCAAGACCATCTCCGTCTCCCGCCCCGAGATCGAGAACGGCTCCGGCGGCGACCCCCGCTCCCTCACCATCCGCTTCGAGTTCAACGAGAACGACTACTTTGAGGACGCCGTCGTCGAAAAGACCTTTTGGTACCGCCACTCCGCCACCTACACCGGCCTCGTCTCCGAGCCCGTCGACATCAAGTGGAAGGCCGGCAAGGACCTGACCGAGGGCCTCCTCTCCGCCGCCAAGAAGGTCTGGGACCAGGGCCCCATCACCCCCGGCAAGCTCACCCCCGAGGCCGAGGCCCTCCGCAAGAAGGTTGAGGAGACCGCCATGGGCGGCGTGTCCTTCTTCTCCTTCTTCGGCTACGTCGGCAAGCGCATCTCCGCCGAGGAGAGCGCCGCCGCCCTCGCCAAGGAGGTCAAGGAGTTCGAGGACCGCAAGGCCGGCAAGAAGACCGCCGAGGAGGAGGAGGAGGGCGACGAGGACGAGACCGAGTTCGAGCTCGAGATCTTCCCCGACGGCGACGACGTCGCCGTCGCCATCGCCACCGACCTGTGGCCCGAGGCGCTCCATTACTTTAGTAAGTTCCTCCGCGACGGTGCCGTCGCTGCCGAAGAAGGACGAGACGGAGACTTACTCTCAATGATAGCCCAAGCTCAGGAGGCCGGCGAGCTGTCCGATGCCGACTTTGAGTCCGACGACGAGGAGGACGAGGATGAGGAGATGGGCGACGCCGAGACCACCCCCAACAAGAAGCGCAAGGCTTAGATTGACGACTTACCACCGACGACGACAACACCCCACACCCCGCAACACACATACGCATGATGATGAACTTTCTTAATATTAGACAAAACCTGGTGATACCATGATCGAGTCCCCCTCCTAGAGGAAGAGGGAGGGACTCTCAATTCAAAAAGTTTTCGTTTGTTATACCATTACTCGTCCCTGCTCCTACATGATGTGACCCTACTATCCATATTTGCGACTGAGAGATGTTGATCTTTCCACCGACCCGGACCTTTCGTTTGCTGGTGTTCCTCAGCTACCCTGAGAAGGGAGGCCTCGCCACTGTCTGCCCGAATTCATACCTACCATTTGCGGAGCTGAGCTCCGCAGCACCCTGTTCTGCGGGTAACTCGACGAGGTTGAAGTGGTAGGTACGTCCTTCGTGAAGCGCATTGATCCCAACCGGTTCCTCGGATACAAATTGCTTACTTCGGGGTTCCTCGTATCCTGGAGGTGCTCCGCCGGCCTCCTGCTGTGGTGCTGCCTGGTGCCGTTTCTTCCTTTTCAGGAAGAACACTGCGAGGCAGGTTACGAGGACGAGGCCTGCAATACCGCCAATGGTGGCACCTATGATGGTACCAATGGTCGGCTTAGATGGCTGATCTCTAGCATTCGGTTGTCCAGTAGTTGAGGGGCCCGAAGTCGAGTTATCGGGGGCTTTCATGGTCAGTATTTTGCACATACACAATGTTCACACGATGCTACGCTCACTCACGCTCAGGGAACAAGGCCTTAAGCTCCTCATTTGCCCAAACGACGGAGTCTAGTCCCCCTTGGGCATACCACTGCTTCACCACATCCGGCGACTCGTACGGCTGTGCTTGAGAATCATACCGGTCCGACCAACGCATTTCCGTCATGTCGAAGATTCCCAGCCCGAGTTCCCAGGGGTCTGGGTCTGTCAGCAACTTTGGAAACCCTTGGGACCCGTCTACCCCGCCAATGGAAAGCATTTGGCGGCCTCCTTCGGCCACAACGACGCAGGCGTGGTCCGCCCGAGGGACGGACGAGTCGGCTGCCTTGAAGAAGACGAAACCAGGCAAGCTAAGGACGTAGACGTCGCCATAGACACCGTCTGTCTTGGTGCTGTCTGTCTTTGAGCTGATGCCGCCGTAGAGAAAGCTGAGTAACGTGCCGGCATTAGTTTCCGTTACCGGCTACAATTAAGCGAGATGATGGAAGTGGTTTCCCCTACATATCGTACGTGTAATTGGTACTGGAAGCACCTACGACACAAAAGTTTCCTCGTCCTGTCGGTCTGGAGCCAGTGGTTTGTTGAGTATACCACCTGTCAGCTGAGTAGGTGTCAGTACCTTGTCGAGAGATGCGCCGCTTAGAGAGCCTACTGACTGCTGGGATGATACAGAGTAATCTTGTTGAAATCCATCTCCGCCCAATCCGACAGGAAGACCCGCGACTGAGATCCGCCTAAGAAGAGCAGCATTCCGCCGGACCCGAACGGCACGAATTGCGCGGAACCCCTTACTAATGTCCCGTATTGGCCAAATCCTGTCGAGGACGTGTTTCTTATCTCTCCGGAGGTCATGTTGTATGATATTAGTCCAGGAATGGCGAACGCCTTGTCATTTATTGAGGCATCACTTCGGGTGGTGGCAGCACCGCCAAAGTAATATCCCACGTCCTTGCTCTGGGCAAAAGAACCATCTGTAGTGCGGACGAGACTTTTGAAAGCGACGACGCTCGCGGGGATGACCTGCGACCATGTTCCACCGCCGTTACCGTCCACTTCGAATCGCCACAGCTCGTTTGGCGAGGCTCTGTCGAAGTAGGCCTTCGTGCCACCCCAAACATAGAACCCATTCGAGGATGGGACGCGCCAAAGGGCCTGCTTATTGAGCTTGGGCCCATTCTTCGGAATGGATCTCATCGTGACGCTGGAGTTGGTCCATGAATGCTTGAGACTGATAGAGATTGTCGAGTTAACTGGAGAGTAGTCAACGTCAATGTTTTGTCCTCGTTCAAATTCAAATAAGACTTTAATCATACTTGCCCATGATGGGTGATCGGCGGGCGCCTCATTTTGGCCATGATATAGTTGGGATACCTCGCCGCCGTCTATATACACATAGTCACCTATTACAATGGCTACTCAAGTCAGAGAGAGAAGCTTAAGCTTGAAGAGCTTCGCGGATGGATAAGACATACCTGAATGATAGGCTCGCCTTAGAAAATCAGACGAAGACGGAGCGTCATTGCGTACAACTAGCCTTGAGCTTCCGAAGGGACTCCAGCACCGCACCAAGACCACCAGCCAAGAGACGAGCAAGAACACTGAACGAGACATTTGTAAGGCAGAAGTAGAGAAAGGTCGCATACACCTGGCCTGGCCTCCTTGATGAAGAAAGAGAAAGAAGTGTTGCGATGTCTCAAAGTCCGAACCAGGGACATCAGGAAAACGTTGAGTCTTTCAGGGACTCATCAATGTTTCCTGGAGGCTCCAAGAAGGAACCCCGTCCACTTAGAATATAACAGCTTTACCGCAGCTCCCACGTACATGTCTTCCTTCTTGGGGTCTGACACGCCACCGATATTCATGTGCAACCAGACTGCATAGCCTGCTGCTTTAGCTTGCGGCGAGATTTCTTCGACGATTGACTACTGGCTATATAGATCGGTTCTGAGGCTCGGATGCAGATGTCAGTCTTGGCAGAATCCTTCACCATCGGCACTCCGGCAAGAACGACAAGGAAAAACGAATGTCAGACGAGGAAGCTGCCAATATCCAGTCATTTGGGAGCCTGCCGCGCGCTGGACGAGGCTTTACGTTCGGTTGGGCAACGATCGCCCTTGTAAGCAAGCTTTCGCAATCCTTCTTGTGACGGTTTTGGTATCGTTATCAGTCGCAGAATGAGCAAACAAGATTCGAAACGCAGTATAGCACGGGTGGTTAGGTATTCAAGCTTAAGCTTAACAGTAAGGATAGCTTCTTCGGCACTCTGCGTTTCCTTGGAAATCTGGGGACGCGATCACTTGCAGCACTTTCCGAGGTATGATGGGCAGGGTCCGTCAAGTACTGTGGAGAAGTCTCGCTGACACAGGTTAAGGTTCTCACGCTTCTCATGTCGATTTTGCTTGGCATAGGCACTCTTGTGTAAGGTAGCGGGGCCAGCGTGCTTGCTTGCTTCCAGGCGTAAGCAAGTTTGAGACCAAAAAAGCCGGCCTCGAGATTCCTATTTGTCGGGTAAGCACGAGGCAAGATATCCAACGAAATACAAATCAGAAGACGCCCGTCATCCACCTCTCTTAGGCAGCTTGGTTTGGCCCTTGTCAAAGCGTTCATGTTCATGCCAGATTCAGTGTGTTGATATCTCGTTGTATCTAGATGCGATATCCTGATTGACTGAATGTCACGGACAGTAAGCACCTCGTGCGGCTAAATATTATGGTACGCTTTGCTTTGCCTGAGTCTTCGCATGTGGACCATAACATTGTACTAAGTTATGACTTTGTCGCCCTTCGCGTTCAAGCCTCAAGACCGAAGGCGCATCCACCCTCCCTCAGGTATGCAAAGGTCCACAACTTCAGTCGTATTACAATAATAAAAAGACACTAATGAGGAACACAATGGGGATATGGATTCTCATCCTGCATCTCGAACCTATTTGGGTTCCATCTTGTCGTTCCAGGTTCCGTGGGAGGTACATGTAGACGTGCAGTTCATCGTAGACAGGGTTCGGGTCTCGGTCAAAGACTTTCCAGGGCCGGCAGATCACGGAGACCGATGACTGTAGAATAGTGGGACTCTCGGCGGACAGTTTCGGCGGTAAATGTCTATAACTCTCCGGTCCGTTCTTGTATGTCGGGGATTGTTGGTCAATTGTCTGATGTATTCCCGACTACTAACACCATAGCTTATTAACACTACAGCCCACTATTAGGTGTTCGGTTCTCGATCGTCTGACGAATAGGGTAGGTGACATTGGCATCTAAACCCAATCCTCCTCCCAAAGTTTTGATGACGTCAAAAGTCTGGGGAAATGGCTTTGGAGAGTTTAGGTGATGCGCACCACAGACCCCCTCCCGTGGTCGCCGCCCGGGAGCCACTCCGACTTACCCGCATCTAGCCATCCTATGGGAACACCTCCGATTCTTTACCACTCGCGCTCGCCCTTTCGCGTGTACCTCATTTGTAAGCGGGCCTATGGTCCCGGGGTCTTGCAGAGGTTCGAGCCCCCCTGTCTTTGATACAAATTAAGATTCGGTCACGATCTTCACCGTTCCCACGATGTCATGGCGAGGGTCATCTCTGAGTAAAATGAGATTACCATCCACGATTCCCAAGAGAATCTCAGAACACATCACATCCAGCGGAAACCGTATTTTCTCACACAGCCAAATCAGAGCTATCAACATGGCGACAGCATACAAGATCAATGTTCCGGTAACGAACACGGGACTGTGGAAGTTTGATCAGAAAGATGCTGCCGCGAGCAAGGTGTCTGAGCTACTACAGGAGGATCTCGAGGTACGGACAAATTGTACCTTACATAGAAGTAGGCGGTATGCTAATATTGTACAGAAACATCATGTCTTCTTCAACCAAGAAGGCTTCCACAACCACGTGAGCTCAAATACTCAGATCATCTCACAGCCAGCCTCTAACATCGTTCAAGATCCCTCATCAGGTCCTAGCCCTCTTCGGTACCGGCGCAGGCCCCGACGCCATTCAAGCGGCGTACAAGGAAAACGCAGACTACCAGCGCCCAGCCCAGACCCCACGCGACTCCGTCGCAGATGAGCTACACGACTGGGACCGCGCGAAAAAGTACCTCGGCAAGGAAAAGCACTACCCAGACTTCCTCCTCTTCTTCCAGCGCGAGATCGAGAGGCTCGGGGGCTGGGAGGCGGCGCTCAAAGAGCACCTCTTCAAGGGCGACGAGCGCGCCGACGATATGTTCCAGCGCATGTTTGCGGGCTTTTTGCATCCCATCATCCAGCTCATGTACGGCGTTGAGTGGGAGCAGCCCGCCATTGTCGCCGAGGGGCTGGCGCAGGCCGCGGTGCATAAGAACCAGCTCAAGGACTTTTTCGACGAGACGGAGAAGCGTGCGAAGACGGATGCGAGCGGGTCGATGCCGCTGATTTCGGAACTTGTCGAGGAGATACGCCGGGACCAAAAGCTTGCTCACGCTGCTGAGATGAAGGACGCGAACAAGATCTTTGACGGGATTCTGAAGCGCGCGCCGGAGGAGATGCTGCGGATCGCGAGCAAGGTCAAGGTTCGGCCCGAGGAGCTGGATGAGAGGACGGCTGAGATGTTCCATAATGCCTTTTACGTTGCTGGCGGCGCGGCTCTTCGGCCGGGTAAGGAGCCAAAGTGGGATTTCTTCTTGATGTAAGTGTGATCCTGTTTTTCCTTCTTAGGAGAGGCTGGAGACGAGAGTGTCAGACGCTGACGCTGTAAACAGTCACCACACGAACGCTGCGCCCATCTTCCTCAGCTTCAACTCCATGCCGTGGATCTCGACGGAGAACAAGGTGCGCATGCTGGAGTACAAGATCCGGATGGACCTCGTGCAGTATGCGGCGCGCGGGTGCCCGCCGCTCCGCCTAGAGGATGTCAAGTCGTACAAGCCAAAGGACAAAGATGAGGGCAAGGACTTGGTCTCCAAGCCGACTGGTAAGTTTTTCATCTTTCGTCTCACTTAGAACAGTGGCTGATGGACTCTACAGACCTCCTTCCAAGATTTCACAACTTTGTAGATGACGGCCACACGATCAAGGTGGTCAGAGCACTTGGGATTTGCCAGGACCTTTCAGCGAAGTATGGCGACAAACCCTGGATCAAGATCAAGGATGGGGAGTGGCTCAACCTCACCTACATGTTGTTGGATAGCACTGAACATGACGAGACGAGATGGGTTCGTTCAGCGGGCTTTGAAGAGGCGTGGAAGGTGAGACAAAAAATCATCGTTTGTAATGTAAATTCATGATACTGACGCTGCTTCTAGGACGTCCCTGCTCGCGATTGACTAGCCGACGGTGGCAGGACGATATCAAGGTTGTAAATGAATGAGATGGGACGACATAAGTGTAACAGTAGCAAAATCATGGCAGCTTGACAAAACGGGGGGTATACATTTGTAATAACATCTATGGTTTATTCTAGCCCAATCCACTCATCTCCGTCGGAATCGCTCTGGCCCTCATCCGCATCGCCAATCGCCAAAGTCTTGGCGGGGGCGTCGAACGCGGCCAAGTCTAGCATTTTTACACCGGTCGTCTCCTTTTCGTTGCTGGCCTGACCCAACAGATAGTCCACCATGTACACATTATCGTCCGCGGGCCTCCTGATCTCGTCGCGCATCCTCGAGACGGCCCTGGCCACGATTCTCAGCTCGACGTCCACCTTGCCCCTGTGCTGCGTGAGCCAGGCGCCGTGCTTGTCCACCAGCGCCTTGACCCAGAGCAGGCAGAACTCAATATGCGGCGTCTCCTCCGTCTGGGCCGCGACGAAGCGCAGTAACCTCGGGACGTAGACGATGGGCATATCCTGGACGACCAGAGCAATGTCCGTGTGCGGTATTGAGAGGAAGACGCGCTTGATGAGGCCGGCCTCGTTGAGGCGGAAGGCCATGACCAGGGCTTTGAGGTAGTCCTTTTCGTTCTCCAGGACGGCGAGCGTGGATGCGGGGGTGATTTCCATGTTGAGGTCAAAGGGGTCGAACTGCATGAGGTTGTCGAGGCTGTAGATGAGCAGGCCCTCCGTTGTGGCAGCGCAGAAGGCCGTGCCGGTAGGTGTGAATGCAACGCCCGAGACGCGGACCTCTGGCATCCTCTTCCTCGCAGAAGGGTCGCCGCGCTTGGAGCCCGGCAGGGAGTCGTCTCTCCTGTCCTCGGGGTCCGAGGCCTCGCCCTGATCATCGA